TGACACAGCTCTTTTTTTTTCCTTCCAGTTACCTATTACATTTTTCAAGCCTTAAGAACTTGTATATTGAGAAATTTCTATGTCCATCTGAAACACGATTCCCTTGAAATGCAGTTGCAAAAGAGACAGAATTTGAATTTTGGGGATTTATACTTGTTATGCTTGCTGCTGTTATGTCTGGGTTTCGTTGGTGCATGACTCAGATTCTTCTGCAGGTTCATATCTTCATTTTGATTTCTCCTTTAATATCTAATTTTCTTATATTTCGCACACATTTTTTCTGCCCTCAAGAATTATTCTTACTCCACTTTGCTGGGCTGACTTGGTTTATGTTCTCTTCATGCAATTTGACACCAAACCAATGCTAAAGAAAGAAGCCTATGGTAAGTGTCCTGAATAGCTCCAAAGTAATTGTTTTTATGGATAACATTTTTGTACATTCATGTGATATTTTTTGATGAGAACTGAGAAGTGTACTTGATCAGAACTATTTTTAACCCATTCAATGAGATATGTTCGGCATTCACATAGACTTGACTTGAATATGCGCCAGTTCAAGTAGTCATTTTTTATATATCAAGGAGTACATAGCAAGAGGATCATTGATTCTCCTAGAGGAGCTAAGAGAAAAAGAAAGTAAAATACAAGAAAAAACAGATCAGCTTAAAAAGTGAAAATCTATCATTTTGTGTATTTTACATAGAAATGCCTGTAAATGCCCTTTAGCTAAAACCCCCCAAGGAACCAGGGAAGCAAAAACCCTGTTGTAATATAAAGATGTGAGGGGAGAAATTTTACGCTAGAAAAGCTTATGCAATTATGCTCCACTGCTCACATCAGATGCCAAGAAAAATAATAAATGACAATTATCCCAAAGCACCTTACTGTCCCTTCGAAGGTGGGCAGACAGGTCCATTGCTCTCTAAATTAGGTAACAATTTTCTTTTTAAATAGGTTTGCAGAAGAATCTGTCTGCCTTTTCTGGAAAAGAAATGATTTTTTTTTTTTTGCATGACTAGATAATGATGTAAAATTGTGGAAACAGAATTTGGCAGAGATGTACCCTAGAATTTGTTAGGATATCAACAATTTCTGAAAATTAATGACCAACATATCTCTTTGTAAACTTGTGGAACCATATGTTGCTCCTTTTATTAGTTATTCCTTGATTACCTTATCTAAATGCTCCCTCTTCTAAATTGAAGTAAATTTTGGTATTCTTAAGTCAAGTTTACTTGGAAAGCCTTATCTTCAATCAGAAATATTGTTTTGGAAGATTGACGTCACTTACAAATCTTGGACTTCTTAAACCAGCCATGGGCTTAAAAAAACTAGATAAACCTTAATTGATTAGAGCCTTAAATCTGAACCTGGTCTTGCAATGGGAAATGATGGGAAGAGGACCAATAAAAAGGTGTAATTTGTTAGTGGAATCCTACAATTTGAGCACAGGGTACTTGAATTGTTAATTGTTGAGGATTATGGATACATTATTATATTTGGGTATGAATTTTTAAATACCCAGCAAGTTATTGATTGAGGTGGCCATGACGTTTTAGAAACATGATTTAGTTGCAGGTTTCTACATTAATGCTCTTGTGATTGAGTCTCAGATTGTTTAATGATGTGAAATATATAATGAGTTTTCTTCAGATAAGCATGAAAGATCAAGCTTCACATATATCAAGTCCTGTAAGCAGACAAGACTGGCTATTCTGGTTTTATTATTTTCCTAATTTTCTTGGAAGATGATGTGGGAACATTGCATGCCTCCATTACCATCTGGGAGGCCTATGCCCCATGGAAACTGTCTATTTGGGACTGCCTCTTAGCTCATAGGTTTTGGCACTAGGTTAGCATTCTAGTTCTTCTAGAGTGGTATGTCATTGATGACTCAAGCCTCATCGGAAGGAGGCCTTTGCCCTCCGCCTAAGTTGTGCTGAAAAGGCCCCAAAGCCACTCCTAGGTAATAGTGAATCTTCATAGGGTCTTTTTGTCTAGGTGCAAATAGTTTGCACCTTTACTAACATGTCTAATTTACTGAGCCTCTCTCTAAGTGCCTAGACCTTACACTTTCCATGTAGGTTGGAATTTACTTGACAAGGAATTTTGCTCCCTTAGGACTGTCATAGTTATGGCTCTCATTCACCGAGGCTTCAGTCACGATATGGATCATCATCCCAAGCAAGTAATAATCAAGAGATTTCTTATAATTACAACAGGCATAAAAAAATATTTGTTCTTGTTGAATGATATTCCCATCAAGAGAAGTTGTTGAATTAGTTGGAAGATTTTTTGATGATAAATTCTCTGATACAACAAGAAGTCTTATTCTACTAGATGGGGTTGGTTACATGAATCAGACTATGTCAATTTGTTTTATCAACAGCCTAGATTTTCAACTTTACCATCTTTTATAACATTGCACCAGTAGGCTTCAATTCCCTATAAAAGTCCAATTTACCATTTTTTTTATCGTTTCTCTATTTTCATCTTCTTTGGATAATGTTTCTTTATTCATGTTTTTCCTTCATCCATGTTCACTTTGCAGTGAGAAATTTAAAAGATATATACTTCTTTCATGAAATATTGATGATAAGTTTTCTAATAATGTTAGGGATGAAAAATCCGCTTACCTTGATGAGCTATGTAACTCCAGTTATGGCGGGGGCAACTGCTCTTCTCTCTCTTGCATTGGATCCATGGGATGAATTCAGACAAAACAAATATTTTAACAGTCCATGGCATATTACTCAGAGTTGTTTACTGATGCTTTTTGGTGGCGCACTTGCATTTCTTATGGTGAGAGTAAATGTTCCCTTTCCAAGGACATTACATTACAATATTTATTGTCCAACTTTCTGCTTCTTTGACAGTCTAGCTTACAATTCTTTCCTCCTGTCAAATCAGTTTTCAAAGGTGGATCTCCTTTTTGCAGGTATTAACAGAGTATGTTCTTGTCTCAGTAACTAGTGCAGTCACAGTTACAATTGCTGGGGTTGTTAAGGAGGCTGTCACCATATTGGTATCCTTTTGTTTCATTTTCTTTGGTTGACATGAACAGGTTTTACTAGACATGTCTTCTCTTAAATATATACAATGCTTTCCAACCACCGTAGGTTTAGATTCTATTCAATATAAAAGAGAGTCAATCAGTGTTTTAGCGTGCACCCTCACAATCTGCGTTGAAAATTTTGATAATTGCATTTGTCTTCAAGGGGTAAACAGATTTTGTTTTACCGTTCAGTAATTAGTAATAGTAATGTTGATGATAATTTGATGGGGATGATGAGGATGCGAGAAACGAACGTTTGATGCTGTTATATGTTGTTCTACTCATTTAAGTGCATTATATATGTAATTAAATTTAACTTTTAAATTTTTTGTTAAATTTAGTCGCTTATATATACATATTGTTAATTTTCATGTTGTCTGTGTAGGTTGCTGTTTTGTACTTTCATGATAAATTTACTTGGTTGAAAGGACTTGGTCTCCTCACTATCATTGTTGGTGTTTGTTTATTCAATTGGTACAAGTAAGTCATAAGCTAATGCACTTCTAAGCGATATATTTTAGTATTTATTTGCTCATGCCTTTCCTCTCTCTTCATTTAGAGCTTCGAACTTAAAGGATGGATTAGGAGCAATCCCTACAGTTAGTAACAGAGAATTGGTATGCAAATAATATGAATAACTTAGAACTCAACCTTGTTTTTTGATTACAGATATTGGAAGCTTCAGAAGGGTGAAGCAGGTGAAGAGGGTGTAGGTGGGATCCTCAAAACAGATTCGGCTACAAAGTATGTTATCCTTGATGAGATGGATGAGCAAGAAGAGAATATCTGATTTCTGAAGTCATTATAAAAAAACACGATTCAACTTCAAAGTAAGTCACGTGATGATTTATTTATATGTTAATGATTGAAATTGCAAACTTTTCTAGCCAACGTTGGTGTCTTCAAAGTAGAACCTGTGCATCATGGAATTCTCAACAAATATAGAGTACTTCATAGTGTCTTGGCATTTGACATTCTGGTATATCAAACAACTCACAACTACGACCAACACTTATTTTTATTAGGAGGGTTTGAATCTTTGTATATATTTTGCACTCTATCCCGCTCTTATCATATGAGCTAAGCTAGGTAGTAGCTAAAAGTTTATTACTTTATTTTTTAAAAAATTAGCTAAAAAGTTAAATATCCAACGGCTGCACTTAATTAAATGTTTCTCATATATTAATTTGATGGAGTATTGTAATTCAAACAAAAGTCGTCATTTGAAATTATCAATTAGGTATACACATTAGGGAACACACCTTTTTACGACATGTGATGAGATGATTGGCGAGCTTAAGTACTCTGTCAAAATTGCTCAACACACTTTCTCTATTTGCAGTGCCTTGTGTGTTGTGCTGTCATGTTCTGAAGCTGATGGCGTGGAGAGAGAGAATACAAATTTCCCACATATAATAATATTGCTACCAACCATATGTATATGTCTTGTATTTCTTTCATTCATTTGACATTCTTTCTTTGGGTTAATTCCATGGAGGGTGTTGTATACTACAAAACAACAGGCTATTTGTGTTAGATCATTTGTCTTAAATTTTGGTTTCATTATGTTGTGCACGAATTGTTTTGCATGTAGAAAATAATGAATCCAACAACTTTTAAATGTCCAACGAATATTTTTCCTCTTCATTAAGTACATATTGTTATTGGCTATTGATTTTTTAATCATGTTTGCGGTAACTACAAATTCTATAAAAAAGTGGTTCAAATCTAACATAATAGTTTACTGTTTTCTTGATTGTTAATTTATTCTTTCACATGCTAATTATAATATGTGAATTGATAATATCTGGTGAATAATTGCCAGAAATGTAATAACGCATGCACACTATTATTTATAATGAAGTTATTTTTCATTTTTTTTCCCATTGTTTTCTGATAAAAATGAGTATGGGTACTATTGGTTTTTTTTTTCCTTGTAGGTAAATAAGATAATCACATATATTGCCAGTTGCCACAATGAAGTAAAGTACAATATAAGAAATCACTGATTAATACAATGTCAAAAAAATTAAAATACATTACAAGTGTTGCAAATATAATAGGAAGTCCACGCAAGCCACACAATTATTATATGTTTAGACAACTCCAACACATCAAGTAAAAAATACATGTAATTTTTACATGCATCTTTTTAGTTTTTCTATAATCTTCAACACGAACCCAAATCCAACGTCTCCACGCCCCAGTTAATAAAATTACTGCAGATTAGATCTAAAGCTCATCATCACTCCTTTATTTTCTAATTTTCTAATTTGATGATCTCCAAGTCTGAAAAAAAAAAACCAATGAATTAGTATCTTAGCTATCACATAAAAATGTTACATAGACAAAATAAAGATTAACGGCCTTGTTTATTCTACTCATGTTTCAATTGTCAGTAAGATAATGCAGAATAATGATTTATGATGATCGGAATGATGTGTTAAAAATGTGTAAATGGAGAAACTTGATTACTTTGGGTTATATAGTTATTGAACGACTAATATTATTGCATCACCAAAACTTTTGGGGACGATTCAAGTTTTTGTAAAAAAAAAAAAAGTGGTGCGTGTGTGTCTGTGTACCAAACTAGAAATTTTTCACGAAAAAAGGACGTTTTATTAGGGGGAGGGTGGGACAATTATTTTAAACAAGCTCCTTTTTTTTTTTGTGGTTCCCAGACTTAAACAAGTAATTTTAAATAGCCATTTTGCTCAATAATAACTACTATGACAAAAAAGGTAATATAGAAATTATGTGTTTGGCAAGACTACAAGATAAAAATGAAATGTGGTATTTGACATAGTGAAAGAAATTGCGATGCACAAAATTATTTTATTGATTAAAAATAATGAAAAATAATTTTAAAGGAAGAGTGCAAATAATATATTTGGGTTGCATATTTAGAAAGAGGGTAGATAACTAAGTACCTGATGAGGAATTGTCTAATGGGATGTTGCATATGCTTGGACAATCCTGTATGCTCATGGTTCCTGATAATTGAGTGAATTCATAACCTTCATAAATCTCTCTCAACTTTGGCAACCCTATGAGATTTAATTTATTCAGTTGAGGGAACAGCTTTTGATGATGATGACCTGTAACTTGCTCACCTTCGTAACCTTGAACAACCCCCTCAGTTTGAGAGCAATCATGTATAGTTATTTTCTTCAATGAAGGACAATGAGATGCTAGAGAATAAGAGAACAACCTTTTAACCTTTGAACAATCAAATATTTCAATTGTCTCAAGTGTTGGGAAGCAAACAGTGGAATTAGCATAAATGTTTTGAAGTGATTTTTCAAAAAATATTCCCTCCCATTCCTTGCAACCTGTCACTTCAATTCTTTTCAACTTTGGAAGACTTGTGACTGTAGCAAGAGTAAAAATACTTCTTAATCTTAGACATTGCTGCAGTGTAACATATTCAAGCCTATGGAGGCTTATAATTTGTGTGGGGCCCTTCCAAATACATTCCAACTCTCCTAGATCTTCTAACCATAATTTCTCCAACTCTGAAATTGAAATAAACACCATCAAATATGTAATAATTAAAATAAAGTTCGAAAAGCCTTTTTTATTCTACACATTTTTCAATTGTCATAAGATAATGTAGATTACATCAGATTTATGATGATGAGAATATAATGTGCTAAAAATGTGTAAATGGGGAAACTTAATTACTTCGGGTTGTATAGTTATTGAATGACTAATATCATATATATTCCAAAGTGCTTCCCGTGGTAGTGTTCATCCAAAACAGTACCATATATATATTTTTCTTTTTTTAATTTAAATTTTGTGTATTAACAGTTTATACAGAACCATAACAAAAATTAAAAAAAAAAGGTGTGGGATCCATAATAAAAAATACTTATAAATATGAGACTCATAAAAAAAATATGTATGAGATTTAACATTTTTTTATAAATGTGAGAGATTTATTATTTGTTGCTTGTATTTTGTATATGTATAAGATAATTAATTTTTTAAATAATAAATTATAAAATAAAATATTTTATTATTTAAATCAATCAACTTATTCATGTTCCCTTTTCTATATAAGAAAATTTTAATCAATTCACATAGTTTAAAAAATTAATTATTTCTAATAATTATGTCTAAAGTTGAAAAGTTTGGATTAAGATGTACATATGATCAATATTTTATTCTTCTCTAATTTAATGGTACTATCATTTAATAAAGAGTAATTAAGAAATTATTTCATAAATACTTTTTGAAAATTATTGTTTTGCATATAAAAAATGACAGCAAACCATAAAAAATTTTGCTTATATTTAAAAATGGAGAAAATTTATAGTAAAATTTTTCAATGGATTAAGGTAGAACTATAATGATTTTGTGAGATACATTATATTTGGATTTAATGATTGAAATAAATTCTATCACTTAATAAACGTCACATGCAATACAATAATAATCTTTTAATTTACTTGAATTGTTATAAGACATTTTGTCAAAAAATACTGTCTACTTTGTTATTGTAAATGTGGTTATAAATGGAAAATGTCAAATGCGTAATAAAAATGGGAAACTTATAGTAAAATAATAAATTAATTGTCACAAATTATAAAATTTTAGGTTTACATCCATTGAAATTTAGATCTACATGCACAAGGTAATACATTATCAAATAAATTTTTTTTATAAAATAAACATCTTATTTTTATGCATGAGACATATTTTTAATTTGTTACTAGACTAGTACAATAAATTTTATAACTAGAATAAGTTGGTGTTCATATGTTTAATATCCATGGGGTAATGAATTTTAGAATAATGAACATTGTTTATTTTTAAAGGGATAAAAATTTTCTTAATTATTGATTTATTTTTTCAAGTTTAATTTTTATCAATTTAATTCCTTACTTTTTTTCTTTGTCACTTTAATCTTTTTTAATTATATAGTTAATTTTTATTATTATAATTATTTATCTATAACCACATATACAATTTTATTTCACACTTTCTATAAACTATTATTTTTATAAAATTATAAAATTATCAAGTTAGTATTTACTCATAACTTAACTTCTATTAACTTTTATAATTTGTTTGGTTAAAAAAAATGGTTGGGAAGTGGGATTTTAAATTTTAGTGACTTCAATTTTAGAAAAATAGAGAATATTGGCTAGAAAGTTTTTAATTGATTTTTTTCTCTTACATCTCTCAGATAAAATTTTATAACATATTGATCCTTTTTTTCTTAAAATAAACTCATTAAAATCTAGTTATTGCAACACCAAAACTTTTGGGATGATTCAAATTTCTGTCAAAAAAAAAAAGGGTGGTGCATGTGTGTGTGTTTACTAAACTAGAAAATTTTCACATAAAAAAAGACGTTTTATTAAGGGGAGGGTGGGACAATTATCTTAAACAAGCTATTTTTTTTGTTGTTGCCAGACTTAAACAAGCAATTTTAAATAGCCATTTTGCTCAATAATAGCTGCTGGTGACAAAAAAGGTAATATAGAAATTCTATGTTTGGCAAGACCACAAGATAAAAATGAAGTATGGTATTTGACATAGTGAAAGAAATTGCGATGCATAGAATTATTTTATTGATTAAAAATAATGAAAAATAATTTCAAAGGAAGAGTGTGCAAATAATATATTTGGGTTGCATATTTAGAAAGAGGGTAGATAATTAAGTACCTGATGAGGAATTGTCTAATGGGATGTTGCATATGCTTGGACAATCCTGTATGCTCATGGTTCCTGATAATTGAATGAATTCATAACCTTCATAAATCTCTCTCAACTTTGGCAACGCTCTGAGATTTAATTTATTCAGTTGAGGGAACAGCTTTTGATGATCATGACCACCGACTTGTTCACCTTTGTAGCCTTGAACAACCCCCTCAATTTGAGAGCAGTAATATATAGTTATTTTCTTCAATGAAGGACAATGAGATGCTAGAGAATAAGAGAACAACCTTTTCACCTTGGGACAATGAGTTACTGTAATTGTCTCAAGTGTTGGGAAGCAAATAGTGGAATCTGCAACATAAATGTTTTGAAGTAATTCTTCACAAAATATTCCCTCCCATTGATCGCATGTTCTTACTTCAAATTCCTTCAACTTTGGAAGACTTGTGACTGTAGCAAGAGTGAAGATACTTCTTAATTTTGGACATTGCCACACTTCAACACGTTCAAGCCTATGGAGGCTTATAATTTGTGTGGGGCCCTTCCAAATACATTCCAATTCTGGTAGACTCTGCAACTCTAAATAACACAATTTTGAAACCACCCTTGCTCTTTCATTCTCATTTTTCTGTAAAGTATAGTATTTAATGATTATATAACAGCCTAAGAGATGCCCAATATATGAATCATATCAAATTGAATGGTACTATAACATTACAAATTAAACCCCATTAATTTCACATATTTTAAAATTGTAACAACATAATATTACTTAGATGAATTTTATTCAATTAGACCTTCAAATATTATCAAGCGCACAACATGAATATATATATATATATATACATATAATTATTTCAAATAAAAACAGTCATGGAAAGTATTATCCACAATAAAGAGTTGGTGCCAAAAACAATAAAAAAATATTTTGTTCACATCTAACCATTATTACTAATACATATGAAAGACATTAAATTTGACCCAAGCCATGCATCAGTGGGAGCGACATTAAATTGATTTTCTTTCCGAATAAGAAGACCGCTTTATAGATGCAAAAACATTAAATAAAAATTGAAATAATTATTGCCTGCAATTGAGGATATATTTTTATTACTAACATATATCATTTGATAGTAAACGAGAATTTTTCAGATAAATTTAAAAAAGTGAACATGCCAATTTTTAACAAGAAAAAAAAGGCAGAGTGAAAAAAAGAAAAAACCTCTTAAAAAATATCCAAACAACAATTTCACCTCCATGACACTCACTAAAAAATAAACCCAATCAATTTCACATATTTTTTATATTGTAATATAACTACTTCATAATTAAATCAATAATAATGTGGGGGGGGGGGAATGTGTAACTAGCAAATATTCTATCTTTTTAGTTGCATGTATGATTATTCAATGTCTCCTATTAACTATATGTCATGAAGTTATTGTGATATATGATTTCATGAAACACATTAATTGTTGCGTATATGGATACTTTATATTTCATGGTAGATATATATATAGCGTGAATAGAAAGCTTTGAAATTTCATAATAAAAGGATTGTTATGTATTCAGGAAACTTGAAATGAAAAAGAAATACTGCATTGATTTTACAAAAGACTTACATGTGTATCATGGGGGTATTTCAACTGGTACTCAAATTCTCCTCCAAAAATGTTTCTCAATTTCGGCAAACTTATTAGAGTTAAATCCTTCATTTTGAGGAGCGATAGTCGATCCCCATGTGCTGCTTCTTCACCAGAGTCTCTATCAACAAGCTTCTCAATTTCAGAGCAATCCTCAATATATAATCTCTCAAGTGAAGGACAATGAGAAGCCAGAGAATATGAGAATAGCCTTTTCACTTTGTTGCAAGCCCTTATGATAATCTCCCAAAGTTTGGGGAAGCAAACATCAGAAGAAAAAGATGAAAGGTTCTTAAGTGATTCTTCACAAAATATTCCCTCCCATTTCTCACAGTAATATACCATAAGTTGCCTCAACTCTGGGAGGCTTGTAAGGATGGTAAGAGAGAAGATACTTTGTAATTTTGGACAATCCCGCAAATCAACTCTTTCAAGTCTATGGAGGTTCATAGTTTGTGTGGGGCCCTTCCAAATATATTCCAGTTCTGCTATTTCGTACAATCTTAACGTACACAACTCAAAATGAGCTTCAAATTAGGATCTTGGGCTTCTACTGTTCCTCTTGTGTGCACTTCAAATATACCTTTCATTCTTTTACAATCTTCAATAAATAGAAATTTCAGACTTTGGAAAGGATGGTGGGCTTTTGATTTTGCAACTGCTTCAAGCTTTTTGAGGTAACCCCTACATTTGCCCTCTCATTCTCATTCCCCTGTTAATGTATTCAAATTCAATTAATTGTGAAACGGATGCTGACAAAATCAATAATACAAAAATTATTTCCTCCATCCCAAAAATACAACATCAAATTAAATATATCAACCTTTGTTTATAAAATAAGAATTACATAATTGAAAAAAATTAAAATATAAATAAAAAAGTAAAAAAATATATGCATTAATTATTTAAGTAATTTGCATGATTTTCAGATAATATTTATATTTAAATAGATGTATTTTAATCTAATACATGTGACTTAATGATCAACTAATAGTTGAGCAGATGAAAATAAAATGATAAAATCTTAAAAATAGAAATAATGTTTGTTTTGTAAGTATTCATACTATGAGATGTCAGTCTAGGTTTCAGAAATAAAAGAAAGATATCTGAAATTAAAGAAAAATAAAATGAAGATAAGAGTATTTTACTTAATTAATTATTTGATAAAAAATAAAATTTCCATCATAAAATTAAGAATTGTGGAAAGAAATAACAAATGCAAATAATATTTTTATATTACAAAAAGAAAATGAAATTTAAGTAGCTTAATCTTTAGTACTTAGTGTAAATACTAAATACAAAGATTTAAAAATAATTGAATAAAAAATGAAATAAATATGGCCTATTGTAGAGAATATTTTTCTTAATACTTATAGTATATATATATATATATATATTTGAAGGCAAACATGAATTTTTAAAACAAAATTAAAATGAACAAGCCAATTTTTTGATGGCATGTCAACGAAAGAAAAAAATTTGTCATAACAATTTAAAATTTTAGTTAACCCATTTGTCAACACTAGTTCCAAATATACTAACCTTTATAAACTTACAACTTTTCACTACAGCAAAAAAAGGAGGCACAGTGAAAAAAGGTGTTTTTATTTTAAATTTAAATAAAAGCATAAAAAATACATTAAAAAAAATTTCACTTCAGGTAATTTATAAATAATACATCAATAAAATTTTTTTTAAAATAAAACGACCTTTAATAACTACTTCGTTTCTTTCAAATATATGACATGTTTTGAGCAGTCTTATATTTCACTCTAGATACCTTTTGAATTTTAAAGAAAATTGATATCTTTTTTCTCTCTCTAAAATATCCTTAAAGATATATTAAAATACCTTACCTCCGTTAGGGAAAAGCTTACAAATATAAAAACAAAAGAAGGAAAAAATTTAAAAACAAATTAATATATTAAAAATTTGATTGATTAGTTCTTTTGATAGATGTACATTGGGTAGATATAAGAAAAACTTATATTTGAAATAAAGTGAGTACTGGGGTGGCAAGGTGAGCATCGATTTATGTGATGGTTTCGGTGTGAAATTTGCCAAAATTGATCTGAATTGAACCAAACTGTATTTATAAATGGAATCACGATCGAATCAAAATAAGATGGTTCGATTTGGTTTCCTAAATTGGTTGTTGCTAAATGTAGATAGAGTGACGGGACACTGGCAAAACAAAGTGAAAATGGAATTGAAAAATGTAAGCAAAATAAGAAAATGGAAGATAAGAGAAGAGGAGAGGAAAAGAAGCAATGATGAGCATCAGACCGGCAAAATTATTACTATTACAGCAAGTGAGAATCAACGCTGCGACAAAAAGTTTGAGCACAAGGGAAAGAGAAGAATTGACACAACATAGGAGAGGGAAAGTGTAGTGACAGCTGTAGAAAATTGAGAAAGTGTGAGGGAGTGCTTGACTGACTGATGGTTAAAGGAGAGAATGGCAATGTGAGGAAGAGAGGTTTGATCGCTTGAGCATACAAGCTGGAGGTTGAGGCATGAGATAGAAGTTGAGAGTCCTTCTCATATCTGAGGCTTAGGGCTAAGTAGATGATTTGGGCTTATGGCTTCTTTTGGGCTTCTAGTTAAGTAGTGTTGAACATTTTAGCTTATGGACTTAAGGTCCTCAATTCATTTAAATATAAATTTAAAACTAAAAATAATATTTATAAAATACAAAAAATAAATATTATTTCTTTAAAAAACAAACATTATTTATTTCAGTTTGTTCGGTCTATATGATTTCTTCCTCTTCAAACAGAACTAAACCATTTAAGTTGAACTTTTTTAAAGAAAAAAATCAAAATGAAGAGTTAAACCCATTAAAACCGAAACAAATAAATCAAACTTAATTTGGTTCGGTTCAGTTTTGCTCACCTTGACTATGATAAAATTTTTAAGTCAGAAAATACATCAAAAAGTCATCTCCTTGACCAAAAATATGAAATAAAACATATCACATGTTTGCATTAAAATGTAATTAAATGAAAAAAATAGTAAGAAACTTAGAAAGCTCAAAAGAAGCTCAAGAAGCAATAATATTTTGCATGAAAATTATTATTTAATATTCTAGTCTATATAAGTACTTTTCACAATGTATTGGGTTAGAAATTGTAACGCACATTTCTTTGACAGGGAAAAAAAAAGTTTAAATAACTAACTAGGGAGAAAAGGAAGAAGGATTGATTATTTGATTTCAGTTCAAAATATGAGAAAAGGACATAAATGTCATGTATCAAAGGAAAAGCAACAAATTCAATTTACAAATAATATTTCCTTCCTTGAAAATTAAATTAAAAGGTAATTTTTTTAGTCGATGCATTAACATGGATTATTATTTCTAATAAGTAATATTATTTAGGTATTTCATATTCAAGAGGGAATTTGTAGATAACACTTACATATAGAGAACCTTGCATATCATAAAGGGTCTCTCCTTGGTATTGTGGTTGATCCTCATGGGATAAGTCTTCATGATTACCCTCTCCACCAATGAGCCTCTCAAGTTTAGAGCAACTCCTTATGATCAATTTCTCTAATGAAGGATAATGGCAAGCAATAGAATAAGGGAATAGCCATTTCACTTTGCCGCAATCACATATCTTAAGTTTCCTCAACTTTGGTAGGCTTGTAATAGTGGCATGGGTGAATACTTGTTCAAGACTACTCATTCCCTTCAAAAATAAAGTAATTAGGCAAGAGAATGCTTGTTTTTTTTGGAGATTGTTGGCATCAAAGTTATCAATGATGAACCTTTTCTCTGGACAGTTTAAAACCACTAAGTGCTTTATCTCTAAATTTAGATCTTTATGATCCCACATACAATTCTCCAACCAAAGGCAATTTGCTCTAAGAATGAGATCTTTCATTGATGAACCAAGAGCATGGATTTTGAAGCCTTGTATACATAAAGCTCTTAAGGCTTCAATACAACCATCAAAATATTCTAGAAAAGGACGTTCAAGTTCATTTAAACTGCATGTGGAGTCATACATAACATACCTCTTCAATCTTGATTGAGGAAAATTTTTTGGAATGGCAGATTTCTTATCCCAAAAGTATAATTCTTCAAGTTTTACATCTTCCAATTACTTCCATAGGACTTTCCACAATTTTACAACCAAACATGTCCAAAGTTTTAACTTTTTCATTTCTATAATTCCAGCAGGTAATTCATTAAATTTAGAACTACGCAAGTCCAAAATCTCCAATCCTTTAAGTTCACCCAAGAAAGAGATGTCACCCAATTTTTTTCCTCTAAAGGATAATGTGTGAAGATTTGTTAATGACACAATTGATTGTGAAATTGAACATTTAGTTATTCTATCCCAAGAATACCTAGGCTTCCATTCAAAGCTAAATGTTATGAGGGCCAAGACTTTTAGTGCTTCTGTCCCTCCAAGATGATCAATGAACCCTTTAGGATGAAGTAGCAGAATCTCAAGTGTTGGAGCATGCAATTGATTATAGAGCTTGAAATTCTCATCCAAATTCCACAATGATAGTACCTTTGTATCTTTCAAACTTTGATGTTTATCCAACATGCTTGAAACAACATCTTTATCGACCAAAACTGCTTGAGAAGTTTTCTTTGCAATCCACAAGGCTACATCTCGGAACCACATCGTGCAATTTTACACAAGCTTTCTTATTGGCAGGCATTAACAAACAATAATCTAACAACCTCTCAATAGCAACTAAAATCTCTTTCCGTGTATCCTCCATTGTATAAACACCGTCATCCAGCTCAAGAGTCCCCTTCCCAAAACGAATTAAATCCTCTACATGGATGTCATGATCCTCAGGAAACATAGAGCACAATAAGAAGAGGGACTTGGCTAGTTTAGTTGGCAAATTGTCATAACTTATTTCAAGCACTGCGTAAAGCCCCTTCTCCAAATCCTTTTCAATATCCGACGATGTGGGATTTCGTAGCCTTCGTAGAGTTGACTCCCACACTTGAAGACTCTTTCCTTTTAACATGCTTCCTAAAGTCACAATTGCTATAGGCAGACCCTTGCACTCTTCAGCAATCTTCTTTCCAATGCCATCAAACTCATCATTCGTCGAGACATTAGCTATATTCGCATGCCTCTTGAACAAATCCCATGCCTCTTCCTCTTTTAAGATAGACAGTTCAATTATACTCTCACAATCCATGGAGTCACATACATCTCGACGGCGAGTAGTTAACAAGACACGACAACCTTCATTCAGTGGAATGCCAATTTCTTCAAGGTTTAGTTTGATCCACACATCATCTAAAATTATAAGAATTTTCATACTTTTCAATCCCATTAATAGCCTCTGTGCAACGGCAGATTGGGTTTCCTCCTTGATTTCCAAACCTGCCAATTCTTTTATCTCCTTTTGGATTTTTGAACATCTAGAGATTGAGAGATAACCACTTTGATCACCTTGTCAAAACGCTTCAATTGTTTAACTGTGTCACCCACCTTGGTTGCCAAGGTGGTTTTACCAGAGCCACCGCTGCCAAACAGTCCAATCTTGTTCTTCCCAACTTCAATGGCCTCTAAAAGATCATTGTATGCTGATTTCCTTGAGTTGAATTCTACAAAGTCCTTGGAAGAGTCAAGCATGCCTGGAAGTTGGATCGGCAGGGAAAATGGCTCCAAGTTATTGGAATCTTGTTTCAGCTCTTTCATCCGGTTAGCCTTATCATCCATTTTTTTGGCTAAAGGATACCTGCGTCGCACGTTAAAACATTTCTTTGCTGCTCCTTCTTCAACCTCATGTTGCAGCTCTTGCACATCCTCAAGGATAGCTTGAACGTCACGCAACCACTCCTTCACGGATGGTATTATTGCTTCAAATTTTCGATCAGCTTCTTCCTTACGCTGTTTAATGTCTCCTAGTTTCACCTCCAGCTCTTTTTTTGAGTTCTCGACATCCCCAATGAATTGGTTGAAGCACAGCAAATAACGAACATGGCGTGAAATTGGAGCAACAAGATATTCAGCAACCTTTGCCCCAATAGCGATCACAATCTCTGTCATCTGATGCAGTAAAACGCAATCACATGGATTTTAGTGGTAATAATCCCCATAATAAATCAATGGTCAACGCTATGATACACACACGCACCATATTTTAAATTCTTTTTTTTTCCTTGGGAAGCTATCTTATATATATTGTTGGATCGTAAACACTAAGTTTTCAAATAAAATGAAAAAGTAAACAAGCTGCATGCCAAATTTCAATTAAAAATGCAAAGGAAAATAGTATATATATATATATATGAATTATGACCTCACACATGAGCGTGCGTAACTTAAGTAAGTCCAGAAGCATGCTTATATATGTGTATAATGGCATTCAAAAGGAGATTTGACTGAAACTTTCTGATTATGAGAGGGTGAGACTACATAGAAATAACGGTGGAAGAAAATTTTACAAAACATATATAATTTAATTTAATATTCTTTGAAGTTTACAAAAAATTTAATTTAATACTTTTCACTAAAATTGGAAAAAATTGTTTTACTAATTTTTTATGAAAATTCTAGATGTATAAAAAAAATTTAGAAGACAAACTAGCTATACAAATTTTTCATTATAGAAATTATGTAATTAATTCTAAAGTCATATAATCATTGAATAAAAATATGAAATTTTTTTAACATTGTTTTTTGAAAGAAAAAATTTAAGGATTTTAACCTTCAAGGATTAAAAAATTTAATTGATCAAACTATAAGAGTTTAGTTAAAACAAAATAAATTATAGGATCTAATTCAAAATTAAATGAAATTGTAAGACCTACAGATATATTTTTCCTAATTATAAATACGTGTCTGAATAAAGCATATTGCCTATGTATGTATATAACATGCATAAATAAATCATATTCTCATACCTGGCCTGTAATTTGAATTGATGATAACTCCCCCCCCCCGCCCCGAGTCACGGAAGAAGTAAACAAATTGTGTGATATAGTCCTGTAAGAAAGAATGAAGTAAACAATGATTCACTAAATTAGGACAATGATATTAAAAGTCAATCATATTTAATAAATAAATATACTTTAAACCCATGCATGAAAAATAAATACGTAACTTAATATTATATTATTAATTAATTACCTAGAATATGAATTAATGATAACTTTAGCGACATTTTTTGAGTCATAGAAGAAAGGATAAAGCTGCAAGAAAAAAAATTAAATAATTAACTGCAAAATAAGTTTCTTTTTTTCCCAATCAAAAAAAAAAAGCGTTGCAGCATTAAAATATTCCTAATTACCACAAGTGCTATGATACATCAACCAATGCAAAGAGATGATAAATTATGAGCATACAAGAAAAAGTAGGAATTATAAAGAAAGAAATAAACAGTGATTCATTAAACTATTAAGGCAATAATATTATGGGTATATATTTATCACAAAAAATATTATGGGTATATATTTTTTAAGGAATTTCAATTTCTATGAAATCATTAATTACTACAAAGTATAAACTTGTTGTAGTGAAAAAAACGCACATTTAGTCTTTTAATTTTATACAGTATTTAATTAAATTTTCTGAATTTTATAATTTTTTTTTTCAATCCATTGATCCTAGCACTATTAATTTTATTAACAAGAAAAATACCAATATTAATTTTTTAATTTTTAAAAGTCGATAAAACATTCTCAAATATTAATATATTAAATTTAATTTTTTATAATAATAATAATTGACACAAAATATCAGCTTTTGAGACTAAAATTAGATCAAAATAAAATCTTGCATAAAATTAGAAGATCAAAGGTGCACTTTTTTCTAGAATTAATTAAGAAAAAACTTAGATGTTTAACTTTATATACTTAAACTACTTGTGTTTAATAAATTAGCATAAATGGATTTAAAAAATAAAAATGAAATTATTAATTACAAAAGTTAGTTTTAATTTAAACAATTAAGTAAGACATAACGTTTACCATAAGATTCATTTAACAATACTATATTAAATTAAGGGTATAATAAAAAGAAAGTCTTTAATATGTATGATAGAGGGTTAAAATTTGACTAGTAAATATTAAAATATTAATATTTTAAGAGGTCAACTTGTTAATTTAAAGGGATGAAAGTATAGGAATTTCACTTCTAAATGAAATTTGAGTTATAATATTCGAGTATTTTTATTTAATAAAATAAAAAATTATTTTCACAAGCCAACATCGATGGTCAACTTCAATAAAAAAAGGGTAGGTTGAAGAGCATTTATTTCACAGTGGAAATTAATTACAATCAAGCCTCAAGGGATCTCAAAGTATTAGTGAATTCAAGAGACTTATTTAAATTTTTTATTGGAGATTTATATGTAATTTTTTCAAATAATGGCAACATTATTTTTTTTATCAGCATTTGAAACAACATATAGGAAGATGATCAAATTGCATGATGATAACTAAGATGAACAAACTGTCAGGCATCATCATCTTAGGTGTCAACTTAAATGATTTTTGGATAACTTAAAAAGTACTCAAAAATTAGACAGGAAAAGAATTCGCCGAAGCGAACCTAGAATCAAATTGCATGATGAACATCTTCCAAAAAAAAAAAAAAACAAACAAACAATGAATCACTGAATTAGGACTATAATATTATGGATTTTAAATTTTCAAGAGTTCAATTTCTACGAATTCATTAATTTGAAATTGAAGTTAATACGAAAGAGCTGGTAAAAAAAATCAAAATAAAAAAATTTTAAATTATTTTAGAGTAAAATATACTAGCCTTCCTTCTATTTTGCTAAAATTACAAAGACCTTCCTCATGCTTTAAAATCTACACTTTAATCTAATTTTGAATGCCACTAAAACTATTTTGTTAAAGATTCTACAAATACTTAATTTTTTTATTTGTAATTATGTTGAAAATTTTAAAATTGTTGATTTTTCCTTAAAATCTAATTTTTCTATTGTCTCCCCCAATTTAAGGAACTTTAAATAATTAAGTATGATAATATTTAAATAAAAAATTTAAAATATCATATTAAAATTATAAAATTTATTGAAAATGAAAATAAATTATATCAAATAATTTATCTCTTATTATATTAAATTCCTATTTTATTAAGTTCTTTTTACATACATGTTTGAAATATTATTAACTAAAAAATTTAAAATATGAATAAACAAGGTACACATATATACTTCAAATTTTTTGGGCTAACTTAAATAATTTTTAGATAATATTAATATTTAAATATGTATATCTTGATCAATTATATGTGATTTAATGGTTAACTAATGGTTGGGTTGATAAAAATAAAATCTTAAAATTAGAAGAGAAGTTTATGTTTAGTGACTACTAATTTTAAGGGAGGATTTTATAGGTTTTAAAAATATAGGAGAATTATATTTATGTTTAGCAACTATTAATTTTAAAGGAAGATTATATAGGTTTTAAAAATAAAAAAGTATATGTATTTAAGATAAAACAGAAGGAGGTCATATTTTATTTTATTTTTTATGGCTCTCTTTCACCAAACTTCAAAATTAAAAAGTTAGAATTAAATTAATTCCTAGAGAGTAAAATTTTCCCCATAGAATTATAACCAGAGTATTATTTATATACTGATTGAATTATGGAAGTCATGAAAATGGAAAAATCATTTATTATTTTTTTTAAAAAATAATGCATTAAAATTTTAATTATTATTAATAAAGCACTTATATAGTGTATTTAATTAGGCTAAAATTGATAAGATGTAAATATTTTTAAAAAATTAAGCTTTCAATTAATATTTTTTATAACTGTAGATTAATTATTAACGTCCTATATTTTGATCCGAGAGAGTAATCATTACTTTCCTCAAATATTGTAATGAAATTAGACGAATAACTCAGAAATGTCCACAACAGTTACTCTCGAATCGAATTGATTTCCAGGTTGCTACGTGAAAATAGTAAACAAAAATTCACCCAATTAATACAAACATATAATGCATATTTATTAGTCTGCATAGAGTTTGAAGTCTTGAAATCCATTATTGTATAATTATTGAGGAATTCGAAAAAAGGGGAAAAATAAAGCTCATGCATGCTTATTTTAATTATTTTTTTGTATTACTTTAATCAAAGTGGATATGAACACTTAAAGAAAAAAAATATTTTAAAAAAAGTCTTATACTAAGAGCCATAACGAAGGTCCTTGTGATAAGAGATCAAGGAGTAACATAGTTTTGTCCAAAATGATCTTTATTCCTGTACAGATAGATGAATATAATTAATCTGATGTCTCATGAACCAATTTTTTGTTACCCCATTTTTTTACCTTAAAGTTTGTAATATGGCAAGAATAGTCATGAAATGAAACATAGCATAAACAAATAAGGAAAAATTTATGTACTTACTTTTATATAGTTAAAGTATGTAGGGTGTTTAATATAAGTAAATATGAAAAGATAGGGTTAGTTAAAAAATAGATAATTATTTTATTAAGAGGTGAGATTTAGTTAAAAATACTTTATATTTTTTAAGGGAGGGAGTATATATTATACCAAAGAGATCGGATCCAATATTTGAACTCTAGAAGTGAAACAGAGATGAATAAATTGTTCAGAGAAAATAAAGTTAAAAGTAATGTGCTTGAAAAATTTTAAAAAAAAGAAGATGAAAATAGTTTTAAGTTGTTTCCAATCTTTTTTTAAAGGCAAAAAATGAGAAGTTTTGAAAATAATAAATTCAAAACATTTATCCAAACATTATTTTTATTTTTATTTTTAAAAACAGAAAACACTTTTTAAATACAGAAACCAATCAAGCTCTTAATTTGATGATTCATGGATCAATTTTTTCTTTCCGGTTTTTCCCTCTTAAAGTCTGTAATATAAAAGAATAGTCATGAGATGAAACGAAACAAAACATGAGCAAATAACACAGAAAAGAAAAGACTGACCTTTATACATACGCAGATGACAGACTATATATTATACCAAAGTCGGACCAACCCATCGAATCCAATATTTGAACTCTGCAAGCGAAACAGAGATGAATAAATTGTTCACCAGTGAAAATAAAGTCAAAGAGCTTCAAAATCCAAAAAATTATAATAAGCCAATATAATCGAAGTCAATGAGAAGAGCTAAACGCATGAAAATTGGACAAACCAAGTGATGGAAGAAGAGCGTTTGGAGAAAAGAAAGAGGGAGAGGAGGAATATATATCAGAGCCAAGTTCTGCTGTAAGGGTAACTCTTATTTTATTTATTTTATTTTTTATTTGAACTTTGGTGTGACCAATAATTAGGATTGAATTATTGAAGGTTGTGAGGTTGAATTTTGTCGGCCACTAAAGCTTAATTTGCATTCATTTAATTTGTCGTTTCCAGAAAGTAAAGAAAACTACTATCACAACGCAAGTATTCCTTTATGGCTTTATCAACAACTTTCCATTCACCTTACCAGCACCACACAAAAAAAGTAGGACTTGTAATTTTCAAGGGACAACATGATGGAACGTAAATTATTTAACTTCTTTTTAGATTTTGTTTTTCATTATTTTTACTATTTAAGTACTATCTTGGATAAATTTTCGGTTGTTTTATCTTCATCTTTTAAATTTAGTTAAACTAGGACTCTGAATTTAAATGGTTATCATTTAATTTTTTTCCCCCCGGCATCTCCTCTCTACTCTCTCTCTCTCTCTCTCTCTCTCTCTCTCTAATTCCTCCTCTTTTTTTCCTTCCCTGTTTCACATCATACAACCTTATTGGTCCACGCCAACTTGACACATGCACTTAAGATTTTAATGTTATAACTATATTACAAAAAGCTCTTTTGATTAAGAGGATAATTTTTGTTTTTTTTTGTTTTATGAAAAAGGGGTTGAACCAAACACAACGTGATCTTGGACCGACCACAAATTAGATTGATCTTAGCACACAGATATATTTAACAGGATTTCTGTCAAAAATTCCTCCAAAAAAAAGAATAAAATTCTGCTAAAAATTTAAATATGTGATATTGTTAAGTGCAGTAGACTCAGAGGTGGAGACAGGGAGGGACCAAGGGCATAGCCCCTTTATTTTTTAAATTTTTTTTAATAAAATATAAGTGTTATATATTTTTAGCCTTTAAATTGGCAAATTACAAAAACTTTGAGGCGTTAGATGAAATTCTCATTTTAATTTATTTTTAAATAATAAAAATATATATTTTGAAATATCATGTGTAGGTAAAAATAGGTCAGGCTTAAGCCAGATTTTAAGCAAAAAGGCTTAGCTTATTTATAGAAATAGGCCTAATTATAAATTTAAATATGATTTTTTTTTGTTAAATAGATCATGTCAAAATTTTAACAAGATAGGTTGTATGTCTCAATAGATCTATTTTCTTATTTTAATATAATCAACTTTTTTGTTAAATAGGCTTAGCTTTGCCTACAGAAACATACAGTCTGTCTAATTTAAATTTTGATCTGGTTTGTTTAACAAAAAGATCGTGCTTAAATTTATAATTAGGCCTATTTATATAAATAGGCTGAGCCTGTTTACTCAAAATTTAGCTTAAGCTTGATCTATTTCTATTTATACGTGATACTTCAAAATATTTTTATATTATTTAAAAATAAATTATTCACATGTATTTTTAATAGCCATTGTATGTGTATTGATCAGATTTTGACCATTTAAGTGGACTTGATTTGGCTGCTGAAGGACGCTGAGAGGATCCAGATGCAAAGAGCTTATGCAAGTATGCTCCACTAAGTCACATTACATGCCAAGAGAAAATGACATATGACAACAATCCCAAAGCACCTTGCTTCAATGCTCTCTAAATTAGCTATCAATTTTTTATTTTACTTTTATGTTTTTAAGTTTGCAGAAGGCTCTATCTGCCTTTTCTGAGAAAAAAATAATTTTTTTCCATAACTAGATGACGATACAAAATTGTGGAAACAGAATTTGACAAAGATATACCTTAGCATTTGTTAGGATATCAACAATTTCTTAGAATTAATGACCACTATATCTCTTTGTAAAATTGTGGAACCATATATTGCCCCTTTTATTTGTTATTCTTTGATTACCTTATTTAAATGCTCCCTACGCTAAATTAAAGTAAATTTAGGTATTTTTATGTCAAATTTACTTGAAAAGGCTTCTCTTCAATTAGAAATATTGTTTTGGAAGATTGACATCACTTACAAATCTTGAACATCTTTTTAAACTAGCCATGTTCTTAAAAAAAAAATATTAATTGATTAGGGCTTTAAATATGAACCACCTGGCCCTTGAAATGGGAAATGATGGGAAGAGGACCAACAAAAAGTAGTTTTTTTAATTCAATCCTACATTTTAAGCACAGGTTCTTGATTTCTTAATTCTTGAGGATTATGGATGGAGGATTATATTTGGGTATGAATTTTCAAATAGTCAGCAAGTTTTTGTTAGTGGTGGCCATGACGTTTTAGGAACAAAATTTAGTTGCAGGTTTCTACATTAATGTTCTTGTGATTGAGTCTCAAAGATTGTTTAATGATGTGAAATATATAATGAGTTTTCTTTAGATAAGCATGAAAGGTAAAGCTTCACAGATACCAAGTCCTCTAAGTAGAAAAGATTGGCCATTCTCGTTTTGTCACTTTCCTAATTCTCTTGGAAGATGATGCGGGACCTTTGCATGCCTCCATTATTGTAACACCCTTAACAATTTTTCACAAACAATTATTCCAATGAATCACGTAGAAAAATATCTACTATAATAAATATAATTATTTTAAAAAAAATTCTTTAACTTGATACATTATCATGATAAAAATATTAGATTATAATTTTATAAAATATTCTACCTTTTAAAATAATTACCATGATAGAAACATGTTTTGCCAAAGTAGAAAGAATTATGCTAAATAAATAAGTATTACCATGGAAAATAAAGTTAAATTCCTTAACTTGTCATTTTCAAAAATTGGGATTCCAAGTATTAAATAAAAATAAATGTGAAATACTCATACAATCCCGTCTTAAAATTTAACACAATAAATAAAATAGAATAGAAAATTAAAAATAGTTATACATTTCAAAAATCTTATAACTATCTAGTAACCTTCTAAATAGTAAAGAATTTTTGTTTCTACTCATACACATATATAATCATAGTTGGATTACAGTTATCTAATACAATTTATATCAATGAAATTAATGAAGAAGTGTCTACTATTTGGCTTGAGTTTGCATAATACAACATCACAAATAAACTTTATCCTCCCACATACCATTAGGCTAAAAACATATTTTTTTTTAACCTTATATTTTCAACAAGTGCAAACCATAAATCAATAATTAAAATAGACACTTCAATTAATTTCCAAAACAAGCCAAACTTGCGACTCCATAATCATGTCATTTCAAACTAGACCTCAAGTTTATAGTCATAAAAAATAAAAATAGTTTGAAGGGTATGATCACATCATTACATTTATAAAATTGTTAATGAACAAAAAGCCTTAACATTGATAATATAATATCATTAATATCATAAATCAATATGCCAAAAGAGAGAGTGGTCCACACCATTAAGTTTCAAGGACTTCTCTACGTGTTACTCGTGGCTCTTCTCTTAAAAATTGTTAACCACACAATGAGATTTAAAAATCTCAGTAACTAATGCTAATTTATGATAATTTATATAAATAGTTATATGTGTACTTGCTAAGTGAAAAACAACAATTATATAATTCAAATAAAAACACAAGAGACATTGTAATGTATGACAAACAACTATCTTTATCTCCCTTCATTAATTTCGAGCCGTAGCACTCACTCAATGCTAGAGTACCCGACCATAGGTAGACAAGCCAAGCCCTTATAAGCCACCTATTGGGCCTCCAATAGGAGCGTACTACATGGCACAAAAATACAACAAGTGTCCCAACACCTCCTAAGAGTCAAGCAATTATAGATCAACAATGAACAAATATACGATATTACAATCTTTATAATTTTCTCATTTTTAATAACATAACATATCACTTGGCAAAAACATTTCAAAATACATATTCACAATTTTTTCATAAACATAACAGAATAATTTCTCAACAAAAATTCAGAAATTTTCTAAATAATCACACAAGCAACAATAAGCAACAATAATAATAAATTAAAGCATGGCAACTTTGTAGCTTTATCAATAAATTACCTTTTATAACTTATTTTCTTCCACAAACTTCACCAATAATACAATCTACATATAATATATTATTTATAAATATTAATTTTAATTATTAAAACTAATAAAACAACTCTAGCAATAGAGTATATTATAACATAATTCCTAATCCCTTTATCAATAATATATTATATGATTAGTACCCACTTTAATTTTTTTTATTTTTTTTAAATTCTCATACTTTAATAAATTATTTTTAAGTTTCAAAACACTCATGATATCAAAATTTCATCGATCTATATTTCAAAAATGTATCAAAAAATAAATTAAAAATTCAAAAATTACCCTCAAGCATCAAACCATCATTCTATATCTTTAAAAATATTTATTCATACTCTAGAATATTTATTATGCTGCCAACAACATCAAAAATCACATTTATTTATCATAAATTTATCCCCTTTTCTGAACCTAGGTTTGCCACTTTCAAGAAATTAGTAACTAAAGAAGAAAAGTAATTAAGAAAAAAATTTTAGAATGCTTATATGATATGAAAAAGTCTGAAATCACATCCAAAATATTCTATTATGGGGCCTAGTTTCAAAACTCTCCTTGTCGTAGCATGAGTCTGGTTTTGATGCTCATCATGTGATGATCTCGATAGTTCACATTTTAAGATTTTATTTTTATATTTTTATTTTATATTTTTATAAAAAATTATAAAATTTTAATAAATTTATTTTATCATTAATTTGAACAATAGAGATTTAATTTGAATGATCTAATTTAATATTAAATTTTTAATAATTTTTTTAAATTAACTATCCAGATATACTTTGGATACTTTGAATTTAAAATTTTTAAGTTGTAACTTTTTTTTTTAAAGTGTCCATTTGAAGATTATCATTATTTTTATTTTTAATATTATATTTAATAAAATAAAAATTCTAAAAAAAAATTATCATTAAATTCAGATGGTCCAAAATACATCTGTATAATTAATTTATAAAAATTTTAATAATATTAAATTAGATTATTTAAATTAAATTTGTATTATATAGATTGATAATAAGATAAATTTATTAAAATTAATAATTTTTATAATAAATATAAAAATAAAATCTTAAAACAGTCCAGAGGGTTATCAAGTAACGAGCACCGACACCAAATGTGTAGGCACTAGCTGATTGTGCGACTCGCTCTGGCTTCCACTTTTCTCTGAACGAGATGAATGTTGGCGAGGGGTTATATTTATTAAAAAAACATGTGGGTCCCACAGTTGCCACCCCAACCCCCTTTTCTTTTTCTTACTTTTCTCCTTTCTTCTTTTTCCTTTCCACCGAAAGGTTGCTCGTCTTCTTCTTCTTATTTAATTATATATATATATATATATATATATTAATGAACATCTCGATGTTAAGCCCAATTTAATTTATAATTAAATATTTAAAAATGTGATTAATTTTAGATAACCTCAAATATAATTTCATTTCTCAATTTAAATATCAAAACAATATAAATTCTTAATTTTAATTTTTATTAAAAATTTAAATTTTACAATTTATTCAGAATTTTACAATTACCATAGAAAATGTCTACCTAAAACTCTCTATTAGCTCAATAGGTCTTGGCATTAGGTTAGGGCTCTCGTTCTTCTAGAAGGGTATATTCCTTATGGCTCGAGCCTCCTTAGAAGGAGGGCTTCTTTGCCCTCCAAGTTTCGTTGGAAATACCCGAAGCCAATCTGAAGGAAAGGTAAAGCTTCACATAGTCTCTTTCGTCTCAAGAGTTGCATGATATACTCTGATCTTGCTGATCCCATTACACTATGATATCCAATCCCACATAAAAGGAATCTGGAGCAATGCTTGTTTAATTGAAAGACTCAAGTCATAAACTATATTGCTGCATTGTTCAAAAGAATCTGATCCCATTAGGGAACGCACGTTTTTACTACATGAGATGAGATGACTGGGGAGCTTAAAGTGCTGAAAATTGCTCAACACTTTATTGCAGTGCCTTGTGTGTATCGCCATTGTGCTGTCATGTTCTGAAGCTGTTTGGGTGGTGAAAGAGATTGCAAATTTCCTAATATAATGATGTTGCTCCAACAATATGTATATTTGTCTTGTGTTTTCCTTCATTAATTTCACATTCTTTCTTTGGCTTAATTCCATCGATGAGGGTGTTGGATACTACAAAACAACAAGCCTTTATATTTGATCATTTGTCTTCCATTTCTTTTCATGTGTGTATGTTATAATCCTGAAATTTTGGTTTTCTTCTGGCCAAAAAAAAAAAATCCTGAAATTTTGGTTATTGTGCCTAAATTGTTTTGCATGGAGAAAATAATAAATCCAACAACTTTTAAATGACCAATGAATACTTTGCCTCTTAATTAAGTTCAGATTGTCATTGGCTATTGATTTTTTTTTAATCATGGTTGGTGTAATTACAAGTTCTATAAAAAAGTAGGTCTAATATAACATAATAGTTTACTGTTTTCTTGATTGTTAATTTATTCTTTCAAATACTAATTTTATATTAATTGATAATATCTTGTGAATAATTGCTAGAAATGCAGTGACGCAGAAGCTATTTTCTCTTTTTCCCCATGGTTTTTTTGATAAAAATGAATAAGCATAGGGGTAATTGGGTACAATTTTTTTTGGGTAGATAATCAAAAGCTATATTGCCACAATGAAATAAAGTTCAATATAAGAAATCAAATTAATACAATGTCTGAAAGACTGAAATCCATCACAAATGTTGCAAATAAAATAAGAAGTCCATGCAAGCTCCACAATTATTATATAATTACACAACTCCAGCACATATCAAGTAAAATAGAACTTCAAGTAAAAATGTATCTAATTTATATACATCTTTTTATTTTTTATTTTTTTAATAATCTTCGGGACACAAATCCAACACATCCTCACATACCACTTACTAAAACACAATTGCAGAAGAAGAATCCATTAGAAGATCCAAAGCTCATCATCACTCTTTTATTTTCTAATTTTCTGATTTGATCTTCAAGTCTGAAAAAAAAATGAATTAGCAGCTTAACTATCACATCAAAACAGTACATAAACAAAATAAAAACTAACAGCCTCATTTATTCTACACATCTTTTTTCAAAATTGCCACAAGATAATGCAGATTAAATTAGAGCTGATGATTTATAATGATGAGAACAATGTGTTAAAAATTTGTAAATAAGGAAACTTAATTACTCTGGGCCATAAGATAATTGGTGTGGCACCCTTCCAAATACATTCCAACTCTTGTTAGATCTTTCAACCATATGGATCTTTCAAAATTAATTCACACAGCTCTAAAATGATCTTCAAATTAGTATGTTGAGCTGCTCCTGTTCCTCTCATTTTCACTTCCATGATCCTTTTTTTTCTTCCACTGCTTTCTATATGTAGAAATTCCAAGCTTAGGGAAAGGGTCAAGGCCATCACATGAACCCCAGCCCCCTCCCATCTCCCATCCTCCGTAAATTTGCATCGGAACTGCAGTGCCATTCAATGCCCAATTAATTTTTTTTATAAGTTAAAATTGTTTTAAAAAAATTAATTTTTAATAATATCAATTAAAAGTAAAATTATATGTTATGTTTTAGATTTTTAAAATTTAAATTGTATTTAAAAATATAAAATATTTTTTGAAAGATTGGATGTTAAAAATGTAAGGTATTTTAAATTTTTTATGATATAATTAATGTATTTTCTTAAAGCATACATAATAAATAAATTACTTTATATTTATTTTAAAATAAAATATCCTATTAAATAAGGGTAATTATATCGTTAGTATGTAGTGTGAATAGAAAGCTTTAAAATTTCATAGTAAAAAGATTGTTGTGTATTTACAAAACCTTAAATAGAAAAGGAATAGTGTATTGATTTTACGTAAGAATTACTTTATCATGAAAGCATTGTAGCTAGTACTCAAATTTCCTCTAAAAATGTGTCTCAATTTTGGCAACTTTGCCAGATTTAATTTATTTAGTTTGAGAAGCAATGGCCAATCCCCATGTTCTGCTTCTTCATCATCATCTTCATCAACTAGCCTCTCAAGTTCAGCGCAATCCATTATAATTATTGTCTCCAATGAAGGACAATGAGAAGCCAGAGAATAAGAGAACAACCTTTTCATCTTGTTGCAATGCCATATCTGAATCTCCCTAAGTTTGGGGAAGCAAATATCAGAAGAAGAAGATGAAAGGTTCTTAAGTGATTCTTCACAAAATGTTCCCTCCCATTCCTCACAGTTACATACTTCAAGTTCCCTCAACTCTGGGAGGCTTGTAAGGATAGCAAGAGAGAAGATATTTTTTAATCTTGGACAACCTCTCCAATTAACACTTTCAAGTCCATGGAGGCTTATAATTTTTGTAGGGCCCTTCTAAATACATTCCAACTCTGGTAGATCCTTCAACCATATAGAACACAATTCTGAATTTACCACCCTTATTCTTTCATTCTCATTTTTCTGTAAAGTATAATATTTAATGATTACATGACAATCGAAGAGATGATCAATATATGAATCACATCAAATTGAATGGTACTGTAACATTACAAATTAAACCCCCTTAATTTCACATATTTTGAAATTGTAACAACATAATATTTACTTAGATGAATTTTATTCAGTTAGACCTTCATATATTATCAAGCGCACAACATGAATATATATATATATATATATATATGATTATTTCAAATAAAAACAGTCATGGAAAAGTATTGTCCACAATAAAGAGTTGGTTCCAAAAACAATAACAAAAAAATATTTTGTTCACATCTAACCTTTATTACTAATACATATGAAAAACATTATAATTGACCCAATCCATGCATCAGTGGGAGCGACAATAAATTTTTGATTTTCTCTCCGAATAAGAAGACCGCTTTGTAGATGCAAAAACATTAAATAAAGATTGAAATAATTGTTTCCTGCAATTGAGGATATATTTTTATTAGTAACATATATTATTTGATAATAAACATGAATTTTTCAAATAAATTTAAAAGAGTATACATGCTAATTTTTAACAAGAAAAAAAGGCAGAGTGAAAAAAAAGGAAAAACCTCTTAAAAATATTCAAACGACAACATGACCTTCGTGACGCTCTCTAGAAAGTAAACCCAATCAATTTCACATATTTCTAATAGTGTAATATAATTAATTCACAATTACATTAATAATAATGTGTGGGGGGATGTGTAACTAGCAAATATTATATCTTTTTAGTTGCATGATTATTCAATGTCTACTATTACAACTATCTGTCATGAAAATATTGTGATATATGATTACATGAAATACATTAATTGTTGCATATTATTGTTAATATATATCTTTTTCTTAAACAAGAGCATGCATACTTTATGTTTCATGGTGTGTCTTTATATTGCGTGAATAGAAGGCTTTGAAATTTCATAATAAAAAGATTGTTATATATTTAGGAAACTTAAAATAGAAAAGAAATACTACATTGATTTCACATAAGACTTGCGTGTGTATCATGGGGGTATTCTGACTGGTACTCAAATTCTCCTCCAAAAATGTCTCTCAATTTCGGCAACCTTTCCAGATATAAATACTTCAGTTTGAGAAGCGATAGCCAATCCCTATGTGGTGCTTCTCCATCACTGTCTCAATCAACAAGCCTCTCAATTTTAGAGCAATTGTGAAAATAATTCCTCTAGTGAAGGACAATGAGAAGCTAGAGAATAAGAGAACAGTCTTTTCACTTTATTGCAACAGTCTATCTCAATCTTTCTAAGTTTGGGGAAGCAAACATCAAAAGAAGAAGATGAAAGGTTCTTAAGTGATTTTTCACAAAATATTCCCTCCCATTCCTTGCATTTAATTACTGCAAGTTATCTCAACTCTGGGAGGCTTGTAAGGATAGTAAGAGAGAAGATACTTTTTAATCTTGGACAATCTCACAAATCAACTCTTTCAAGTCTATGGAGGCTCACAATTTGTGTGGGGCCCTTCCAAATATATTCCAACTCTGCTAGATCTTTCAATGTTAATTCACACAACTTTAAAATGAGCATCGAATTAGGATCTTGTGCTTCTCCAGTTCCACTCACTTGCACTTCAAATATACCTTGCATTCTTTCACAACTCATAATTTGTAGAAATTTTAGACTTTGGAAAAGGGTCAAGGGCTTCTAATTCTGCAACTGCTCGAAGCTTGTTGTAATAACCCCCATATATGCTGTCTCACTTCCATTCCCCTATCAATGTATTCAAATTCAATTCATTAAGAAACGGACGTAGAGAGATTACAAAAATTAAAGATTGATATTCACTGTGCTGTCTCACTCTCATTTCCCTGTCAATATATTATAGATCAATGTATTTTTGTATTATGTGGATAGATTTTTGTATCAACTCCTTTATTTTAATTCACTACTTCCCACACTAACAAAATCAATAATACAAAAATTATCTCCTTCATCCCAAAAATATGACATCAAATATATCAAGCTTTGTTTGTAAATAAAATTAATTAGAGTTAAATACAGTGACCTTCTTCCATTTCGCTAATAAAATTGCAGACATCTCCCCTCTATTTTCAAAACCTACACTTTAATCCAATATTTAACAGTGTTAGGAATATTCTGATAAAGATTCTAAAATACTTAATTTTTTATTTATCTTAAAAATTTTAAAATTATTAATTTGCCCTCATGATCTAATTGTCTACTCTCTCTCCCAATTCAAAAAAAAAAACTTTAAATAATTAAGTATGTCAATATTTAAATAAATAATTTAAAAATTTTGTATTAAAATTAATGAAATTTTAAGAAAATAAACATAAATTATATTGAGTAATTTATTATATTAAATTCCTATTTCATAAATTTTTTAACCACATGTTTGAATATTATTTTAGCTAATTTATATATTTAATTTCCTAAAAAATTACTACATAAACAAATTTACATAATTGAAAAATTTTAAAATATAAATAAAAAAGAAAAAATATATGCATTAATTTATTTAAGTAATTTAAAGGGTTTTCAAATATTTGAAGAGCTGTATTTTGATATAACATATGAAACTTAATGATCAACTAATAGTTAGGTGAGTGAAAATAAAATAATAAAATCTTAAAAATAGAAATGATATCTGTTTTGTAACTATTCGTAGTATGTGAGGTTGTCATAGGTGTCAAAAATAAAAGTGAGATATCTGCAATTAAAAAAAATAAAATGAAGATAAGAGTATTTTACTTAATTAATTATTTGATAAAAATAAAATTTCCCTTATAAAAATAAGAATTGAGGAAAGAAATAAAAAATCTAGTTTGAAAATAATATTTTTATATTACAAAAAGAAAATGAAAATTTAAGTAGTTTAATCTTTAATACTTAGTGTAAATACTATATACAAAGATCCAAAAACTCATTGAATAAAAAATGAAATGACTATGGCCTATTGTGGAGGATATTTTTCTTAATACTTATATATATAAATATATATATATATATATATTATTTGAAGGCAAACATGAATTTTTTAAACAAAATTAAAATGAACAAGCTAATTTCTTTAATAAAAAAAAAGATGGCACGTCAATGAAAAAGAAAAAATTCCCCAAAACATTTGAAAATTTTAGTTAACCCACCTGTCAGCACCAATTCAAAATATACTAACCTCTATAAACTTAGTACAGCAAAAGAAGGAGGCACAGTATAAAAAAAGTGTTTTTATTTCAAATTTAAATAAAAGTCTAAAAAAATACATTAAAAAAACCATTTCAGTTTAAGTATGAGTAATTTATCGATAATACATCAATAGGAATTTTTAAAAAATAAAACAATCTTTAATAACTACTCCATTCCTTTTAAATATAAAACACGTTTTGCACAGTCTTAAAGTTTTACTCTATAAGGTACTTTATGAATTTTAAAGGAAAATTGATATCCTTTTTTTTTCCCTAAAATACTCTTAAAAACATATTAAAATGCCTTACCTCCTTTCATTATCATTACCATTTTTAGGAAAAAATTTACAGACAAAAAAAAAGAAGGGAAAAATTTAAAAACAAATTAAAATCTTAAAAATCTGATAGGTTCGTTCTTTTGATAGATGTGCATTGGGTAGAAATAATTTATATTTGAAATAGAGTGAGTACTAGGGCGTCAGGGTGAGCATCGATTTATACGGTGGTTTCACTATCAAATTTGACAAAACCGATCCAATGCGAACCAAACCAAACTGTATTTATAAACGGAATCGTGACCGAAACAAAATAAGATGGTTCAATTTAGTTTCTTAAATCGATTGTTCCAGAACACAGATAGAGTGACAGGATGCTGGCAGAAGAAAGTAAAAATGGAATTGAAAAATGTAAGCAAATAAGAAAATAGAAGAGGAGAGGAGAGGAAAAGAAGCAGCAATGAGCATAGAAAAATTATTGCTATTACAGCAAGTGAGAATCAATACAGTGACAAAAAACTTGAGCACAAGAGAAAGGGAAGAACAAATACAACATAGGAGAGGGAGAGAGTAGTGACAGCTAGGGAAAACTGAGAAAGTATGAGGGAGTGCCTGACGAACTGATGGTTGAAGGAGAGAATGGCAACATGAGGAAGAGAGGCTTGACCACTTGAGGGTGTGAGTTAGAGGCTAAGGTGTGAGGTAGAAGATGAGAGTCCTTCTCATATTTGAGGCTTAGGGTTAATTAGATGATTTGGGCTAATGGCTCTTTTGGGCTTCTCGTTAAGTAGTATTAAACATTTTAGGCTTATGGGCTTAAGGTCCTCATTTCATTTGAATATAAATTTAAAACTAAAAATAACCTTTGTAAAATACAAAAAATAAATATTATTTTTTAAAAAAATATTTTTTATTTCAATTTGTTCAGCCCGTATGGTTTCTTCCTCCTCAGAACCAAACTAAACTGTTTAAACTAAACTTTTTTTGAGAAAAAACCAAAATGAACATTTAAACCCAACAAAACCGAACCAAATAGATCAAACCTAATTTGGTTCAGTTCAGTTTTGCTCACCTCTAGTGATGGCTATGATAAAAATTTGAAACCAAAAAATATATCAAAAAGTCATCTTCTTGACCAAAAATATAAAATAAAATATATAAAATGCTGCGTTAAAAAGTAATTAAATGAAAAAAATAGTAAGAAACTTGGAAAGCTCAAAAAAAGCTCAAGAAGTAGTAATATTTTGTGTGAAAATTATTATTTAATATACTAGTCCATATAAGTACTTTTCACAATGTATTGGGTTAGAAATTGTAATGATAATTTCTTTGACAAAAAAAAGGTTAAAATAACTAGCTAGAGAGATGAGAGAGAATAATTGATTATTTTATTTCAGTTCAAAAATTGTTAAAAGGATTTAAAAGTCATACATCAAAAGAAAAGCAACAAATTCTATTTACAAATAATATTTTAAAATTTTGTATTAAAATTAATGATTTTTTAAAATAAACATAATTATATTGAGTAATTTATTATATTGAAGTCTTATTTTATAAACTTTTTAACTACATTTTAAATATTATTTTAGCCAATTTATGTATAAATATGTTTACATAATTAAAAATCTTAAATATAAATAAAAAAGTAAAACACATACATGCATTAATTTTTTTTTTAGTAATTTGAATAATTTTTAAACAATACTGATATTTAAATAAGGATATTTCAGTCCAATGAATGTGACTTAACGATCAATTAACAGATAGGTGGATGAAAATAAAATTTTAAAAATAAAGAAAATGTTTGTATTTTGTGACTATTCATGCTAGAGAAAGTTCATATAGGTTTCAAAAATAGAGGAAAGATATTTGTAATTAAGATAACATAGATAGGAGATCATAGCATTTTACTCAATCAATTATTTGATAAAAAAATATAAAAATACGAATTCATATGCGGAAAGAAATAACAAATGCAGTTTGATAAATAATATTTTTATATTACAAAAAGAAAATGAAAACTTAAGAAATAGTTTAATCTTTAATATGTAGTGTAAATACTAAATACAGTAAAATTTCATAATAAGAACAATGTCATATGGTTGAAAATAATTAAATAAAAAAAGTGAAATGACTATTGCCTATTGTCGAGGATATTTTTTTAATACTAATATATATGTAATTTGAAGTCAACCATGATTTTTCAAACAAAATTAAAAAGTGAACATGCCAATTTTTTTTATAAAAAAAGATGCATGGTTGGTCACCACTGAGAGAGGAAAATTCATCAAAATATTTGAAAACTTTAGCTAACCCATCTGTCAACACTAGTTCACAATATATTAGCATCTATGAACTTGCAACTCTTCAAGAGCGGCAGAAAAAAGAGGCACAATGAAAAAGTGTTTTTTTATTTCAAATTCAAATGAGAGCATAGCAAAAATACATTAAAAAAAATCAAGAAAACATTGCACTCAAAGTATGGATAATTCATCGATAATACATCAACACGTATTTTAAAAATAAACAACCTTTAATAATAAGTATGCTACATTCCTTTCAAAGATATGCAAGACACGTTTTGAATAGTCTTACATACTAAAATATAAGACAATTTATGGATTTTAAAGAGAAATTGATGTCTTTTTTTTTTCTAAAATACTTCACTTACCTCCCTTCATTACTATTTCTCATGAATTTAAAGAAAGGAAAAATTAAAAGACAAATTAAAATCTTAATCGCCTAATGGGTTACCTTCTTTTGAAAGATGTGCATTGGGTTAAAAAAAAACTTATATTTGAAATAGGGTGAGTACTAGCCATGATAAAATTTGATGAAAAAAAAAAATCATTACCAAAATACAAAAATAAAATATATAAAGTGTTGCATTAAAAAGTAATGAAATGGAAAAAAATTATTAAGAAACTTAGAAAGCTCAAAAGTTGTTCAAGAAGCAATAGCATTTTGCATGAAATTTTTTTTAACATACTAGTCTATATAAGTGCTTTTCAAAATGTAGTGTTAGAAATTGTAATGCATTTTTTTTTTGGGAGAAAAGTTAAAATAACTAGTCAGCGAGATAAGGAAGAAGAATTGATTATTTGACTTGACTCCAAAATTTGAGAAAAAGGATACAAAGTTCATGTATCAAAAGAAGGGGAAAAAAACAAATTCAATTTACGAGCAATATTTCATTCTTTGAAAATTAAATCAAAAGGCAATTTTTTATACGGTGCATCAATATGGATTATTATTTCTAATAACTAATGTTACAAAGGTACTTCATATTTAAAAGGGATTTTATAGATAGCACTTACGTATGAAAAACCTTGCATATCATAAAAGGACTGCCCTGGGTGTAGTAGTTGATCCTCATATGGTAAGTCTTCATCATCATCTCCACCGATGAGCCTCTCAAGTTCAGAGCAACCTGTATTCTCAATTCCTCTAGTGAAGGACAATGGCAAGCAAGAGAATAAGGGAATAGCCATTTCACTTTGCCGCAATCACATATACGAAGTTCCCTCAACTTTGGTAGGCTTGTAACAGTGGCGTTGGTGAAGATGCAATTTCTCAATTCAAGACAAGTTTCTATACTTAGCTCTTGTAACACTGGGAGAGATTTGATAGATGCATCTTGAAACAACTGTTCAAGATTTCTCATTTCCTTCAACATTAAAGTAATTAGGCAGGAGAATACTTGTTTTGTTTGAAGATGGTTGCCATCAAAGTTATCAACGATAAACCTTTTCTTTGGGTAGTGTAAAACCACTAAGTGCTTTATCTCTAAATTTAGATCTTTATGATCCCACATACAATTCTCCAACCAAAGATAGTTTGCTCTAAGAATGAGGTCTTTCATTGACGAACCTAGAGCATGGACTTTGAAGCCTTATATACATAAAGCTCTTAAGGCTTCAATACAACCATCAAAATATTCTAGAAAAGGACGTTGATATATACTTAAACTACATTTGGAGTCATCAATAACATACCTATTCAATCCTGAAAGAGGGAAACTTGCTAGGATGGTAGATTCATTATCCCAAAAGTATAATTCTTGAAGCTGCTCACATCTTCTAATTAATTCTAAAGAGCATTTCTTGACTTTACAATCAAACACATCTAAAAGTTTTAACTTTTTCATTTGTATAATTCCAGCAGGTAGTTCATCAAATTCAGAACTACACAAGTCAAAAATCTCCAATCTTTTAAGTTCACCTAAGAAAGAAATGTCACCCAATATTTTTCCCCTAAGGGATAATGTGTGAAAATTTGTTAATGACACAATTGATTGTAGAACTGAACATTTAATTTTTTTCCTTCCAAGAATCCTAAGACATCCATTTAAAGCTAAATGTTATAAGGGCTAAGACTTTTAGTGCTTCTGTCCCTCCAAGATGATCAATGAACCCTTGAGGATGAAGTAGCAAAATATCAAGTGTTGGAGAATGCAATTGATTAGAAAGCTTGAAATTCTCATCCAAATTCCACAATGACAATGCCTTTGTATCTTTCAAACTTTGATGTTTATCTAACATGCTTGAAACAATACTTCTATTGACCAGAACTACTTGAGAAGTTTTCTTTGCAATCCATAAGGCTACATCTCAAACTACATTGTGCAATTTTACATGAGCCTGCTGATTGGTAGGCATTAACAAATAAGAATCTAACAACCTCTCAATAATGACTAAAATCTCATTCCTGGCATCCTCCATCATATCAATATTATCACTTAGCTCAAGAGTCTCTATGCCAAAATGAATTAAATCGTCTACATGGATCCTTAGGAAACATAGAGCACAATAAGAAGAAGGACTTGGCTAGTTGACTCGACAAATTGTTATAACTTGGTTCAAGCACTGCATAAAGGCTCCTCAAATCTTCTTCAATATCTAGATATATGGGATGTTGTAGCCTTAGTAGAGTTGACTTCCACACTTGAAGACTCTTTCCTTTTACCATGCTTCCCACAATCACAGTTGCTATAGGCAGAGCCTTACACTCATCAACAATCTTCCTTCCAATGCCATCAAAGTCATCATTCAAGACATTGATTATGTTAGCACAAATCCTGAACAAAGTCCATGCCTCTTCCTCTTTTAAGAGAGGTAGTTTAGTTATACTCTCACAATCCATAAAGACACATACCTCATGAAGGCGAGTGGTTAACAAGACACAACAACCTTCATTAAGTGGAATGCCAATTTCTTCAAGGCTTAGTTTGCTCTAGATGTCATCCAAGATTATTAGAGTCTTCTTATTTTTTAATGCATGAGATAACTTTTCTACTCTTTGAGACTACAGCTGCTCCTTTAATTCTAAACCAATTTACTCTGCTATGTCCTGTCGAATTTTCAGCAGATTGGGAGGTTTTGAAACAACTGCCATGACAACATTGTCAAAAAGCTTTAATTCTGTGATCTTGAGACCTACTTTTTTAGCCAAGGTGGTTTTACCTGAGCCCTCGATTCCATAAAGCCCAACCATCTTGTTCTTGCCATCTTTAATGGCCTCTAGAAGACCATTGTATGCTGATTTCCTTGAGTTGAATTCCACGAAACCCTTGGAAGAAAATTCAGGCATGCCTGAAAGTAGGATCGGCAGGGAAAATGGCTCAAAGTTGGAATGTGTTTCGAGCTCCTTCATCTGTTTAGCCAGATCATCCATTTTTTTAGCTAAAGAATACCTATGTGGCATGTTCAAACACTTGTTTGCTCCTCCTGCTTCAAGCTCATGTTGCAGCTTTTGCACCTGCCTCTAAGATAGCTTGAACGTCATGCAACCACTTCTTCACGGATGGCATTATCTCTTCAATTTTTCGATTAGCTTCTTCCTTACGCTTTTCCATGTCTGCTAGTTTCACCTCCAGGTCTTCTCTTGCTTTCTTAAAATGCCCAATGAATTGGTTGAAGAAGAACAAATAACGAGCACCACATGAAATTGGATACCATAGACACCCTGCAAGCTTGGTCGCAATGCAACTCCTAATCCCTTCCATCTATTAATGCTATCACATATAGCAATTAATTAGTTAATATTGCTGTTAGTAGTGCACATATGATACACAGACATAGACACACACACACACACACAACATTTTTTAAATTCCTTTTTTTGGAAACTAATTAATTTATATTACTGGATAATAAACACTGATTTTTCATCATGGCAATTTTCAATTAAAAAGAAGGAAAATAGTTTATATTTGTATAGATGAATTATAAATATTAAATACTGGCCTATCTTATTAAATAAAGTATGCATATATGTATATATCATCTACAAACAAATCAAATTCTCTCATTAAGTTACCTGTAATGTGAAGTGATGATAACTTTGGCAATATTTTTTGAATCGAACAGAAGAAAGAAGTAAACAAATTGATACTGTCTTGCAAGAAAGAATTAATTGTAATTAACTACAGAATAAGGTTTATTCTTTAAAAAAACTGAGTTGTACTAATTAGTTATTCCTAATTTCTACAATTAAGTGCTATGATATAACGGCCAATGCAGAGAGATGATAACTAAAACTAGATAATGAGAATGCAAGAAAAAGCAGGAATTCTCAAGAAACAAATAAACAATGACTATTTCACTGAACTAACATAATGATGTCATTAAGTGTTCACGTTTGTCCCGAGCCGGCCCGACACTATCCCGTTCATATTGAAACGAGTCTATCTCAGCCCAAAAAAATGAAATGGGGCTTTGCAGGATAGGGCAGGACTCAAGGCTAGCTTAGATGTCCCGTCACAAATATAATATACATAACATTATTTTTCTTAAGGAATTTCAATTTCTACAAAATTATTAATGTAAATTTATTTATCTTATATTCTGTTATTTACCTGTAAACTGATGACTATTTTGGTGTTTTTTTTTTCTTTAGGTGAGGCAAAACAAGAATTAATGGAAGCAAATCAGAAGGATGATGATCATTGGAACTGCTTCTGAAAAAAAAGGAAAAGAAACAATAGTGTAAACTATGAGCCTTTAAATAGAAAAATTATATAAAAAGTACAAAAAACATTATTCTTTACTTGAATCTATATGTAATATAACATGGCTCTTCAAATGTCACTAGATTATACTTATTACAAATCCTCACCGAATTATACCAAAAAAAAAATCATTTTTCGATGTATTTCAATATAAAATCTGCCCACACATTCCGAGGCATTTTTTGTGAGTAAAATTAACCAAAGATAAATATAATTCAAAATACCTCATTATTTTCAAAACTCGTGATTATTAATTAACGCCTCATTTTAAATTTATTTTTCATCATATTTCCAAATCAAGCAATTTTTTGTAATAACTGATATTTACGCAACAGAAAGAGAAATTTCCTGTATAATATGAGAGGGAAAATGCAATCTCATATTATAAATATAAAATCAATCATGTAAAAAATTAAAAAAGTATTCATCCTACTGTTATATTTTTTCACCAAATAATGTATCTAAATAACGACATGAAAATTAACATGCATGTAATTTACTTCTATTCCAATGCTACATGTAAGATAAAGAAATGATATTTTGATAATAAGTAATAGGATTTGATGATAATTTTAATACCTTTTGAGCCAGAAACCAATGCAGAAAGATAATAGCTGAAACTAATTAATTATGAAAGTACGAGAAAAGCAGCAATATTCTCAAGTTCAACCGTATAACGGGAAATCATAAACAACAACGTAAAGTTATCAACACTCTTTAAAAATGATATAAAAAATGGATACTTTTTTTCTTAAACAAAATTGAAATTATTTCCTGTGATTTCCAAAAACTGAGTACTAGAAAGTATATAACTCAGCCCAAAAGCATTGTAAAATTAAGTATTATTCACATAATTATTAAAAAAATTTAAGTGGAAAAATTCTTTGTATATTTATGGATATGATTTTTTTTATAACCAGAAGGCCTAGCAAACAACTAAAATGAAATAAAAAAATATAAAATATTTGTCCATTTAGTTACCTCAAACTCTGCAATCAAATTAGATAGAAAAAGAATTGGCCGAGGTGACCGTGGAATCAAATTGCGTGAGATGACCACCTTCAAGAAAGAAAGAAACAATGAATCACTTAATCTAGACTACAATATTTCATATATGGGTCTTAAATTTTAAAGAGTTCAATATTTACAAATTCATTATTTTGAAATATTCAAAAGAAAGAAACAAAAAAACTCAAAATTTAGGATTCGTTTGTTTTCAGTTTTTAAAAACTGTTTTTTTATTTTGAAAGCAGAAAAATTTAAACGCTTGCTTGGATAAGTGTTTTTGATTTAAATTGTTTTTAAAACTGTTTTTTTCCTTTTTAAAACAAAAAAATAGGAACAATTTCAAATTGTTTTCATTTTATTTTTAAAATACACTACATTTGATTATTAAAAATTACAGTTATCTTAATTAATTTTTATCATAAATCACCACCATTAATTGCCTATAACTATTACTATCAGTTTTTTTCACTTTTAAAAATATTTTTAAATTAATATAACCAAATAAATTTTCATTTTGTTTTGCTTTGAAAAACAATTTTAAAAACTGTATTAAAAAATAATTTTTAAAAATAAAAAATGAAAATAGAAACAAACAGGCCCTTAATTTTTTTATTGTTCTCTTTCACCAAACTTCAAATTAAAAGTTAGCATAAATAACTTTAAATTGATAGATGATAATTACACAATCCAGATTCTTCATTTTCATTATCATCATCCCAATGGCCAAAAATGCTCAAACATCCTTTTCCCCCTCCCAACCATATACTCCCAAAAAAAAAAAAAAAATATAATTGTCAGTCTCTATAATTTTATTAAGTTTTACTTTTAATTCTTATAATTTTTTCAGTATTTTTAATTTTTATCATTTTAAAAAAATTGGTGATGTTTGTTTTTCAAGTCCTTATAGTTTTTATTTTTTTAGTGTTTTTAGTCTTTATAAGAATTAAAAATACTTAAAAAAACTATAGGGACTAAAAGAAAAATTCAATGAAACTATAAGGAACAAAAATTATATTTTCTTGAAAAATAAAATAGATCAAATGTTCTCTTAGCTTGTTAAAGGACATGTAAAGTATCAACATGCAAAACAAACAAATTATATAATTCTGTTATTTACCTTTAATATGAATGGATGATTAGAAGGATGAGGGCTTGATCTTCTTCTGAAAATACAAACAAAAGTGTAAACAAATTTGAGGCTTCAAGTAAATAAACAAAATTTCTTCACTACAAGAAATTATTCTTTGAAAACCAAAAACAAAAAAACAAAAGAATCTCCAGGCTAGCTAATATTTGCCAGTGAGATATACAGGCAACCTTGAAGAACATGATTGATGCTGCCGGTACGTATAGTGACTGAAATGGATTTTGGGAACTTAAAGAAGGCAATGAATTAATGACTTAGGATAAGCATATAAAGGAGAGATGGACGAATGAATATATATATATATATATATATATATATGAGATAAGAATTTGTTCTTTGCTTGAGATCTTGAATGATTGACATACCAGTTCCAAAGTTCAAGTAAGATATATATTCATTTATTAATGTTACTTCAAAAGTTATTCCATGCATTTTGACTGCTTTGGCTTTGCTGTATTGAATATGTTGCTTTCATTTGGTTTATTCTCTGCGTTTATTAGTCTTTCCTTGAGCAAGAAAATGAAAGTGTATGGGCTTGTTTTGTTTTGTTCTATTTTTATTATTTTTAAAAACTATTTTGTAAACAAATTTTTAAAAACTATTTTCTCAAAACAAAACAAAATGAAAATCTAGGCATCTAGCTACTTGATTATGTTAATTTGAAACAAATTAGTTAAAAAATGACTAATAATAATGATTGGCATTAATGGTGATGAACTACGTTAATAATTGATCATAACTTCAGATGTAATATATTTTAAAAATTAAAAAAATGAAAACAACTCTAAGATGTTTTCATTTAAAAAAAGAATAATTTTAAAAATATTTAAATCCAAAACACAAGCTAAAATTTTTTTAAAAAAATAAAAAAGCCTTTGTTTATTTGGGGCCCACAGTAAATGTTAGTTGTTTAGCTCCAATATATAAAAATGAAAAACCAGCAAGTGTTAAGTGTAGTGAAAGTGATTAGTCTCTCACAACATAATGAATTAAAATTTGAATTTCTGTTGAAAGGTGCTCACATTTAGTACCCAATACTATTTTGAATAAGATTATTTTTAGTAGAAAGATACTTGTAAATGAAAAAAAAAAAAGCATATAAAAATGAAGAAAGATGGTGGCAGATGCTTCAGCCAAAACTGGCTTTATGCTCTTTAGATTTTTATTGCACTGTCCCATGCTTTGTAACGTTCTTATTTTATTTTTTTTAATGGAAAGGCAAGCCTGAGGCTTGGTGAAAAGTACAACAAACTAACGTTCTTAATTATTCACACAAGAGTGTTTAGTATTTAAAATTTTTTTGATACAATTTTTCATTTAATTAACAATTAAAAATGGTGCAATATTTCCCTTATATGCATATATTTATTCATCCATTCATTCATTCATCTCTCTTTTATATGACAAGAATTTGCTCTTTGCTTGAGATCTTGAATGATTCAGATACCAATTCCAAAGTTCAAGTAAGATATATATTCATTTATTAATGTTACTTTGAAAGTTATTCCATGCATTTTGACTGCTCTAGGTTTGTTGTGTTGAATATGTTGCTTTCATTTGGTTTATTCTCTGCGTTTATTAGTCTTTCCTTGAGCAAGAAAATGAAAGTTTTTATGGACTTGTTTGATTCTATTCTCATTCTTTTATTTTTTTAAAACTATTTTGTAAACAAATTTTTAAAAACTATTTCTCAAAACAAAACAAAATGAAAATCTAGCTACTTGATTATGTTAATTTGTAAAAAAAAAATTAGTTAAAAAAATGACTGATAATGGTAATTGGCAGTAATTAATAGTGATGAACTATGATAGTGATTGATCATAACTAAAGGTAACTTATCAGATGTAATATACTTTAAAAATTAAAAAAAAATGAAAACAGATAGAAGATGTTTTCATTTTCTTTTTTTTAAAACAAAAAATAGAATAATTGTAAAAATATTTAAATCCAAAATGCTTGCTGAAAAATTTTTATTTAAAAAAACCCTTATTTTTTCTATTTGGGGGCCCGAAATAACAAACGTTAGATGTTTAGCTTCAACATATAAAAATGAAAAACTAACCAATGTTGGACATAGTGGAAGTGGTTAATTTATCATAATATAATGAATTAAGGTTCAAATTTTTGTTAAAAGGTGCCCACATTTAATACCTAATACTGTTTTAAATAAAATTGTTTTTGATAAAAAGATACTTGTGAGTAACTAAAAAAAACATACAAAAATGAAGACAATGATGCTTTAGCCAAAACTGGCTTTATGCCCCTTGGATTTTTATTGTACTGTCCCACACTTTGTGATGTTCTTGATTATTCACACAAATGTGTCTAGTATTTTAAATTCTTTTGATGCAATTTTTCATTCAAAAATTAAAAATAGTACAATTTTATTACTCACCGTTAATAAATATTAAATTTGACCATTTGATCAAAAAAATTATAAAAAAGGACAAATAAATGACAAATAAATATCTAATTAAAAATTAACATTGATCAAGTCTCCTAAATTATTGTTATTTATAATCAATAAAACTTCTGCAAGATTCCAGTTTCATCATCTTGTGGGTTCCCCTTCTTGAGTAGGGTGACTTTTGTCTCAGAAATGTTTGTCATTCGCTTGTTGAAATTTTTTGTAAATTAGTATTAACCAATTGAACATATTTTATTTATATTGTTAATTTATAATTAA